GAACCCTTAATTTAACAATCACCCATACACAAAAATAGTTTGTCGTCTCTTATAGAATCGGAGAAAGATCTTTTCATGAAATCTGAACATTGACCAATGAACCATAACAATGGTCTGTCAACTGCTATATGAAAATAAAAATTGTTAAGTCCATTCCACCAACCAATAATAAATTTTCTATAAAGACCAGCTGGTATATTTTTTACTGTTCTTGTTATGTACACGTACACTTTATTTTTTTAACATGTTGATATTATGATATTTTGGCTTCGCCATATATTGAGTAAGTATTTATATTTCATTGATAATTATAACCAGAAGTTAGTGTGTATTGTCTTTCATCGCTTCCTGGCATTTTTAATTTCAAAGAATTTGGAGGACTCAGGTAAATTCTTTTACGTTTCTAATTTGTTCTAATCCGATTTGAATCAGACCTTTGTTCTGTCAGATTTGCTTGTCGCTCATAAATTCGCTCGTAAAGACAAAAGTTTTGTTAAATTTCAAATCATTAGGAATGCTCGAAAGTACAGATTTGGAAGGCAGCGCTGTGCAAATATGTCAAAAAGGCAACAACCCGACCTAAGAGCAGATCCCGAGGTCACCAATGGCACACATTTGGAAAGAGTATCAACGTCTAATTACTTGCGTTTTGCCTAGTATTATAAATGGCGTTCTATATTTCCTATTTAATCATGTTTGCTTTGTTTTCAAAGTTCGTATAATCTAGATTTGTCCAATATTACCTATAATATTCCTTTGATGACATTTGTTTTTCTAGTTGCTTGCATTCAAGTCATTCATTTGTACTCTAGTGTATAAGTGTCTCATTAGGTATCATATGCCATATCTGTATTGTCACATTAAATGCTAGTTTATGAATTACAGTAAGAGGTATCAATCAATATGCATATAGGGCTATTGAAAATAGTAAATATTGAACATTTAAAAAAAAGTATAAGGTACGATTGCTTCGGAGATGTTCAATTTTTTTTATGGTATTTTTTGTAAAAATATTTCAAAATCAACACATTTCATGTGTTTAAGTTAGTTTTCATAGGTTACCAGAAGTACTATTAAGGTTCATCGGGTTTCTGGTTTATGGATGTTTATAGATACAATTTTGTATTCATACAAAGCATTCGTTGTCCTGTTTCAAACTCTGTCATGTACTCTAATATGAACGTGAAAATGACGGCTACAGATAAAGGTTAGAATTTTATCATCTTGTTCTTTTCTCATGATTCGCAAATTTTTTAACATGATGACAATGCTGTTCTTTTAAGCTGTTCAAAATTAAAGTGACGGTCTTATTCGGAAAGTAATACACTTCATCGTTGTAAATATTGTTCTGGTCAAAATATATATCCCGACATAACTCAGAACTTCAGAACACTTGCGGAACAACACGTAACTATATAGGAAATATCATTTTTGTTAACAACACGTTGTAAGTAGGACATAAGTTCCACATTATCTTTCATTATATCGGTTTAAATCAATAAACGAAAACATTGTTCAAACATTTTAAATACGACATTATTTTTTTAAACTATGTCTGTCAGACAAAGACATTAACTGTGCATTACTTACAGCTTCATAATTTGATGTGAGAGTTACCACAACTGTCACTTTCTTTCCTAATCATGATTAAACTTTATATTGAGTCTTAACAATCAATGTTTGACCACAAACATAATATAAATTTAATACTAGTTTAATCACGATACATCTAAATCAGGAAATGGTTATATGAACCCTGCCAGATGAACATATTCATCTGACAATCATTCCATGCCAAATATATAAAGTCTCAAATTGGATATAAATTTGTGAGGCAGGCGTGCCCAAAGCAAATAATGTCCAGTGAACTTCATCCGATGGGTATGCAAATATTTCACTCATCGCTTTAACAAACTATAGTCGACCTACTGCCGATATTACATTTGTGAGACTTACCTAATTTCAGAACTTAAATTTGACCGCTGAAACTTAAACTTGATTAAACGGTCAAAAACCCATACATACAGACATATATATCTGCATATTATTTCTTAAACTAAACATAGTTGACTACTGCAACTAGTATCTGAGAAAAGGACCTAGTCATGCAACCATTCAATTGATTTATTAACCATGAACTTACAATCAAAGACTGATGAACCCTTAATTTAACAATCACCCATACACAAAAATAGTTTATCGTCTCTTATAGCATCGGAGAAAGATCTTTTCATGAAATCTGAACATTGACCAATGAACCATAACAATGGTCTGTCAACTGCTATATGAAAATAAAAATTGTTAAGTCCATTCCACCAACCAATAATAAATTTTCTATAAAGACCAGCTGGTATATTTTTTACTGTTCTTGTTATGTACACGTACACTTTATTTTTTTAACATGTTGATATTATGATATTTTGGCTTCGCCATATATTGAGTAAGTATTTATATTTCATTGATAATTATAACCAGAAGTTAGTGTGTATTGTCTTTCATCGCTTCCTGGCATTTTTAATTTCAAAGAATTTGGAGGACTCAGGTAAATTCTTTTACGTTTCTAATTTGTTCTAATCCGATTTGAATCAGACCTTTGTTCTGTCAGATTTGCTTGTCGCTCATAAATTCGCTCGTAAAGACAAAAGTTTTGTTAAATTTCAAATCATTAGGAATGCTCGAAAGTACAGATTTGGAAGGCAGCGCTGTGCAAATATGTCAAAAAGGCAACAACCCGACCTAAGAGCAGATCCCGAGGTCACCAATGGCACACATTTGGAAAGAGTATCAACGTCTAATTACTTGCGTTTTGCCTAGTATTATAAATGGCGTTCTATATTTCCTATTTAATCATGTTTACTTTGTTTTCAAAGTTCGTATAATCTAGATTTGTCCAATATTACCTATAATATTCCTTTGATGACATTTGTTTTTCTAGTTGCTTGCATTCAAGTCATTCATTTGTACTCTAGTGTATAAGTGTCTCATTAGGTATCATATGCCATATCTGTATTGTCACATTAAATGCTAGTTTATGAATTACAGTAAGAGGTATCAATCAATATGCATATAGGGCTATTGAAAATAGTAAATATTGAACATTTAAAAAAAAAAGTATAAGGTACGATTGCTTCGGAGATGTTCGATTTTTTTTATGGTATTTTTTGTAAAAATATTTCAAAATCAACACATTTCATGTGTTTAAGTTAGTTTTCATAGGTTACCAGAAGTACTATTAAGGTTCATCGGGTTTCTGGTTTATGGATGTTTATAGATACAATTTTGTATTCATACAAAGCATTCGTTGTCCTGTTTCAAACTCTGTCATGTACTCTAATATGAACGTGAAAATGACGGCTACAGATAAAGGTTAGAATTTTATCATCTGGTTCTTTTCTCATGATTCGCAAAACTTTTATCATAATGACAATGCTGTTCTTTTAAGCTGTTCACAATTAAAGTGACGGTCTTATTCGGAAAGTAATACACTTCATCGTTGTAGATATTGTTCTGGTCAAAATATATACCCCTTCATATCCATTTAGTATTATAGATATCTGCTTGATTCATTGAATGATTTGGAAAAGTAAATATAAAGGGTTTACCTTTCCAGCATTCTAATCTGAAGAACATCGGAGTGTTTTAAGTTATAAAACTATGTTGTGAACCTGTGCATATGCATGCTTAATAAGAATCAAAGGAGAACTGTTTATACAACAGTGAGACTTCAACCTTACGATAAAAATAGCAATCAAACGATTGATTGCCTATTAGAACTTTTTAGCATATTATTTTATATATGTAGACCTTGACGGATCCAATATAGCATAGCAATATGATTATATATCATGTTTATAACTCATAATTGGTAAATTCACCTGTCAAAAATAAATTTATTATTTTTTTTCCACAGCAATTGTTGAGCCATGAACCTGAGATAAAGGAGAATGGACATATGACCTTCAAAACACAAGACCGTTGTTAACTAGATGTAAAGCGACTAGATCTTCTACCTTCCGAAATATTAAGGTGTATGTATCGAATTCTACAAACAAATTCGAATGAGAAACGAAATATACATTACAATAAAATTGACGGTACCAATTTTACTGCACCAAATGCGCAGTGTGACAATTAAGGTCTCCTCGGTGTTGCTAAGGGCTTATATAATTGCAAGTCAAATAAAGGCAACAGTAGTATACCACTGTTCAAAAACCTTATACAAACACTGAAAGGTCCAATGATCAGACCATTCCTTTTATTCAGTATAGCCCTTCAGTCATTAAACTGAATTACAAGTAACGCCATTGTACAAACAAAAGCAGGATTCATGAATTTTTCAAGTGAAAAAAGTTGGAAGATTATGTTATTTTTCTGGTACATTTTTTTTAGCAGTTGAAAATGAAGAAAGAATTTCAGAAAGTGTACCCAACTCTAATCATATGAAAATTGCGCCATTTAACGTAATGGACATCTTTCGTTAATGAATAACAAGTGATATGTCCATATATTTGGAAAAAAAAAATATACCGACATCAAAGGTAATAATTGCCATATGTCTCGAAAGTGCTACAAATATCTTTATGAAGTTTTGATTAGAAACGCTTCCAATGCCACTGAAGATATTGCAACTGATTCTCCTTTCAGATTACCAAATTCCTTTCCTTATATTCTGTAGGAACTTGTTTTATGGTTTCCTGAATACTTTTGTTAAAACCATTCATTCTATATTGTTTTTTTTTGGTTTTTTTGGCAATTGTCTAATTTTTTTTAGCATAACATTTATCTAATTCAAGGTATCTCTTATGGCTATGTATGCATATATACTGACTCCCGTGTACTTTTCCTATGATAGAACAGACCAAACATTTCTTATTCTTAATTCAAAAGAGCAAACACTACTGGTAGGAAACTTTAGGGTACTGTGAACTAGTTAGTTTATTCACTAAAATAGATGACTTCGCCTTAATCAAGACGTTTTATTTTCATGAACAACATCAACATCAAAATAAATCACGTTTATTTTAATTATTAATTATATCAAGTTTTACATTTCAAATTATTTACATACAATGCAAGGAAAACACTGATAACCGACTAGGGCCGTTTAAGTCCATTGAGCTACAGGAATATAAAGGTTTGAAAAAAAATTGATACACAAATAGATTTAAATGACCCCATAAGATACTACATTTGTTCAAAAGTCACAACAGAATATTGATCAAATTGTGATGTACTTTCGTTTATGTTATACGATATTTTTTAATCATGTCTAGTCATCAAAAAACATATTGTATTAAAACTGAGGATTTCAACTAGCTTTGCATAACCTTGTTAACGTAACAAATTTATTTTTTTTCAGTGTGTATTCCAATATACTTATTTCTGTCATATCATTATATGGAAAGCTTTTGCTTATCGTATATATGAAATATATGAATAACTTGTTGTTTATTATTTGACCCTAATCTAAAGTTTTTTTTTTGCCATTACAAATGTATATTATGTATTTGATGAACACTACTTCGTCTATTAAGATAAACAGCTGCAGTGTCATGCCTCAATAATTTCAAGCAGGTCTGTCTTGTAGGTGTTACCTCTCTCTCTATATTGTAAACCACATTTCATATCTAAAAAAGATAAAACAGGCATTTCTTTTATTATAGTGTCAGCAATAATTAAATACGCATAAACGTTAATATACTAGTATGATGATCTTGTTGTTAAGAAATCTGAAATTCAGCTTTCTTTCTGATCTATGTACAAAATGCAGCAAAAGCAAAATTATATACCATCAACTAGTCGATTATTTGTATTTCTAGACGATGACAGGGGCTGGGAGGTTTTGACCTGGTAAAGTTGATTTTGGATGGCTTGGTTTGATTTTCGATGCGTTTGTGATATTGGTAAACATTTTTTTTTAATGGCATCATGTTCAATACTTGTGCAGATAATTTGTTAAAAAACCTGAATTATTTCAATATCTAATTGGTATGCAAAGTGTTCTATGAACCGTCTTCTGAAAATAAAAATTATGAATTTAAAGATAACAAGATAAGGTAAAGTCCATTTCACCATTCCATATATTGTTTTCCCTTTATGACTAACAATTGTTCAAATAAATGAGTTAAGTTTGTAATATCTTTTCAGCGAAAATAGCGAGAATAGCTGCATCACTTGTTGTAACTATACAGTGTAAGTATATGATTAATTTTCTACCTCCATCATGCTCAATGGCCTGCACAAACTTATATGAAAGTATTAAGTAAACGACATCGATGTATTTCTATGACAAAGAAAAGGTCGTTGTTCACCTTTTTAAGAAACATATTTTCCTTTGCTACATGTATACATGTACACAATGTATATCAAGGGTCAGAAGTGTTCCATTAATTAACAATTGTTCCATATATTTCATACTAAATTAACATTCTACTTTAGTTATTTATTGTCCCAATTTAATGCTTCCTATTCAATGCAGAGGTGTCTGCAGTTTTTTACAATAAATGCAAAAAAAAAAAAACTATGTATGATTTACACTTTTAAAAACATAGATATAGAAAGATGTGGTATGAGTGCAAATGAGACAACTCTCCATCCAAGTAACAATTTATAAAAGTAAACGTTAAAAAACAAATATGAAAAACTCCACAAAAACTCATATGGCTGAAAAGGAACACAATAATTCACATATTTTAATTTTAATGATAATTTCTCTGTAAACATTTATGAGTTTAACAATAGAAATTGCATACAAATCTGACCTCAAACTTGTTTTAAACAATGTTCAAAAAAGTGTTTCATACATAATATATAAGGTAATTTCCGAACGGTGAAACGCTTTTGACCAATGACTGTTTCTTGAAAAATCGTTCATTAAATTACTTGTTTATGAAAACTAACATGGTATATTGTGAACTGTATAATGAAAAATGGTTTAAATTCACTGATGTGTAAAAAAAACTTGTCTTAGATGCATAATGTTTTTGTATTAGTTGTTATTAGCTTTGAACTAGCTGTCAGTAACTGCGAGTACTATCCGATCTATACTTAGTGTCTTTTTGTTGCAGGGGTGAATAAGTACCCTGTCACGTCCACTCCGTGTTTTTGTTAGATGTGTCCCTGCTTTATATCGATCTGACGAGTTTAACTGAGTTTTATAGTTTGTTCGTATTATGTTGTACAGTTACACCACTAGCTCAGGTGAGGGGAGTGTTGACGCGCCTTCCAACAAGTTTAATCCTGCAACATTCTGTATGTGCCTGTCCCAAGTCAGGAGCCTGTAATTCAGTGGTTGTAGTTTGTTGCTGTACATCATATTTGTTTTTCGTTCATTATTTTTTTACATTAATCAGGCCGTAAGTTTTTTTGTTTGAATTGTTATTACATTTGGCATTTCGGGGACTTTTATAGCTGACTATGTGGTATCGGTTTAACTCATTCTTGAATGTATTACTTTGACCTATAGTTGTTAATTTCAACTGGCACTGCTAAAGGAAACGAAAACAACTTATTTGATACAACAGAAAGCAAATCACGTAGACACAAACTTAAAATAACTTACCTTACAGATCTCACAGTCTCTGAAATATCGTATAATACTGTTACACAAAAATACATGTCATTTACATTAATCATTAAGGCTCGGGCAACGCAGACATGAATATTCATAATTGTTCACTGAAGGATAAGTTGTTGTCGTATGCCTTGTGTTTCAAATGTTCTTTGATATTTGAAGGAGGAAGCACATAGTTTGCAACCTGTTATTGCTTGATCCTTACTCTAAATTTTTTTTAAAAAAGCTGAATAGTTTTAATAAAACTAAAGTAGATAGAGCAAGGTCAAAATTTAGACTTTCTAATTATTACTTAATTTGTTTCTATACTAAACCATATAATCTTAAATTATTATTTGCTTCTCATTATTTTCAATAGTCAAATCTAAAAGTGTCTGATTAATTTTGAACAGTGTGTCTTAAACAGGGCCTATAATGACATGAACAAAATCAAGATGTATAGTTGAGAGGCTCAGTGTTTTCATAACCGAGTTCAGTGGTCACTATTTAATTGAGATAACAGACAAAATATCGCTGACTTTCTTGTATGCTTTATCGGTTTTTATCTTAAATTTTGTAATATTGAAGAAAAAACACCGTCTCATGTAACCTTTGTTATGAAAAACTTGTTTCTATTTCGAAATTTCATATTTGATCAAATGTGAGGGTTAAAATTTTGCATGACCGATGGTTTATAGTTGGTGATGTCTTGATGGTTAGATGAAAGTCAATTACTAATCCGCTTTTTCGTGATGTCAAGTCGTTTGATATAACTTATTAACGTAATTTATAGTAGTATCACGATTGTCGTATGTGGAGTAGAACTTGCTCACCCTACCTGATCACGTGAGATCATCACCGGTTTTTTACGGAGTTCGTGTAGCTCCGTTTTTATTTTTTTCTTTGTTGTGCTTTGAGATTGTTTTTTGTGTTTTGGTCCATTCCTTTGTTTTTGCCATTGCGTTGCCAGTTTCTTTTTTACTTATGAGTTTGAATGATCCTGTGGTATCTTTCGCCTCTCTTTTAATGTTTATACATACAAACTTACAACTCGTCTCCATAGCCCCTGCAAAAAACATAACCATGACAAAGCCATTCATGGAACAAATTATCATTATTGTCGAATTTATGAATTTGGAGGCTCTTCTTTACTTTTGTGGGAATGTGGTCGCGGCTGTTCATTGAAATGTTTAGAAATGTTTATTTTTTTTGACGAAATCGACATTTCGAAATTAAAACCTGTCAGCTAGTATGCAACATCATATTGTTAGTATGCGCATGTGTAGTATCAAAACAAAAACATCGGTAATGGAGATAACTGTTCGAGTATACTCATCTGTTAAGCAACTACAGCATACGTGTTAGATGTTCGGTTAATTTTGCACAGACAATTTATACAGAGAATGGTTGTATTTAAAATGTTTCCTACATCGTATAAACAATATTGTTTAAGATTTAGTATTACAAAAAAAAAATATGTTGAACATCAACCAACGATCTTTCATAATTAACGGAAAGGTAATCCATATGTCAAGCTCTTTATGATCAACATTAAACCTTTAGAGAACAAACAAAAAAGTCAGTTTTGGTTTAATATTGTAAAAAAAAACCCAAAACATCGCTGATGTATCATTGGCTTGCTAGTCATTCGTTCAACCTTATTTGGATCCGTATTTATAAGATTTTCAAGTTGACTCTTAGCTGGATTTCTGTTACTTATGTGCCAAAGATGTCCAGTTATTGTAAAGAAATGAGTCTCAACATTGAGAAGTGAAACAAAAGAGCCAACAGGAAGAGACATTTCGTTTACTGATTCGGCTCACAAAAGAAAATAGTTCTTAAACAGACAAAACGATGATTAACATGATCATCATATCTACAACAGGAAATCATGCCTAGAAAAATCGTCTTTATATGATTACACGTTTTTTGTCCTTCTTGTTGATATTGAGTCGTGTGACCTTCGGTAGTCTTCGGAGGTCATCACGATGGGTAATTAAAATACAAACGAAATAGTGATACATTATAACGTGTTCATATATTAATTATTGATTCTGTTGGACGTTTGTAATTGGATATACGTCTTAGCATTTTATAAATCAAATATGACAATTTTAGCAAATTGGTTAACATAAATTAGACAGTTAATTCCGCTTTAATGTGTAGACAATCTCAGCAATAACGTTTTCAAATAGAATTTCAAAAAGATTGACCCATAACATAATAACTTTCTTTCTTCAGAGGATGAACTTTAAATTTACAAAATAATGTTTCAATAGTATTTTTATTTTGATGTGTTTGCAGTTAGCAAACACTTATTTTAGTTATTTTAAACCACGAGTCATAACCTATATATAGGTTTTCGATTAAAATTTCGTACAAGCGCTTTAATTTTCCTCAAAATAAACTGCAGTGTCATAGCTGATCAAGATGCTTAAAGATTATTAAATTTTATATTTGATTACAAAGAGGCATTTTATTGTTTAAAATGATAGTTAAGGTTCATAAAACTGACTTGAAATACAAAATTGTTGGACACTAAAACCGATTTCACCGCAGCCTTGTTTTATATGGAACGACAACAACCAAATGTGAGGTACCTGTCTGACTTTGGTAATAAAATGAATCACTTCAGTTTTCATTTATAAACCACTATCATGAATGTGCGTTTAGGATTTGTAGTTTTCTTAAGAGCATTAAATCATGTGTGTCTTGCTCTAAATATACCCAAATAGCACATTTGTATGGTAAGCTCTATAACATTAGAAATAGAATAAATACACATATACATAACATGTTTTTCTGTAAATGTGCATTACTCAATGATAACATTTTCTTGTGAGTGTGCTTTTCGCACTAAAAACATCAAATTTGTATGTATCATTGAAACAAAATCTTATTTAACAATTCATCTCTCTGATTATTACAATATCAACATTGAATATTTACGATGTTGAAATATTGCCTTTTGTACATGTACTAGTACATATTTTTATTTTCCTTTCCTTTTTATTCTTCGGAAATTCATGAACGGTCGTTCGAATTATATGTATCCGTATTATGTATAATGTTTTACAATGCAATCCTATTTTGTTATCGTGTTGTATTGTATTGTATTTGACAATGGGTAATGACATGGTAGCGTACATATTAATAATATGACTGTTTTATCGCAAGACTAGTTTGGGTTGTTTGCGAAAAACAGTTTACCGGTGTTGTTTTTCCTTAAAAGATATGCTGGCAGAATTAATAAAGATGATTTCAAGATTTCAACTATGTATTCGCAACTTAAACAGAACTTGTAGTAGTTTAATTGCTTTCTACATATTGCTATTATGTATATCAATAACATGTGGTGACATTGAACCGAACCTGGGTCCTGAACTGCCAACGTGTAAAGTTTTTGAGTTATCCTTCTTTGAGTGCTACCTGGATTTAAATCTTAGTGATTTATAAATAGAACAAAAGTAATCAAGTTTGACAAATAGGTAGTGTGAAGGTGAGAAACTGGTTAGGCAGGTTAATTTAGAAACACTAGTCTTGAGATAGGGTGTTGTCAGTATAACACCTGGACAGTGTTGAAGTCAGATGTTGAGAACTGACTGGAATTTGGAGTTGGAGTTTGACTATTGTCAGGGCAGATATTATATCAGAAATGATCAGTTCAGGATAATTCATTAATATTTTGTCCATCAGGACAATAAAGAACTCCAAGGTAGGTTTTGTCACACAAACACACCATGCCTCGCCCTCATGTCTTCTGTTTCAAATATTCGCACGATATATCAAATTTTGTTTGTCATATTGTAATTATAGCGCGCACGGTTGTCAAATAATTATGTTTATTCGGGATTAAATCGGTCCGTTATTTAAAATTGTGTTTTGTTTCTTTCCCAGGGGACTTATTGAGTTATGGAAGTATTTTAGACCATTAAAAGAAAGGAGTGATAAGTAAAATGAGACAATTTCCTATATATAAAGTTGAATCTCAGATGAGGATAAATATATACTGTGTGTATTGTTAACATTTGATAGTTTAAATGGAACAGATAGTTTTCAAGTAATAAGTATTACAACAACCTGAATGTCTGTGCTAAATAGTCCGTCAGTGAATTTGTTTTGGGACAATTACAATTTAAAAGATAGCAGAAACTTGTTTGACAGTTTGTCCCAGAGACTGAAATATTTAACGTTATGTTGTCAAAGTATTGGTTTTTCAATATTTGTCTAAAGTTAGTTAAAAGTTGTCAGACAGTAAATTTGAACAGTATAATAATTCGGATCAAATGAGAACAACCTTTGAGATTTCTGGATTGATATAGACTTGTGATTTATGGACTGTGATGGACTCATTTATTTATTTACTTTTAATTTTAACTTTTAGTTATGTGTATTTAGTTCCGTGTATTTGTCATTGTCTATGTGAGATAGAAGAGAGGTCGTGGAGAGGTTGTTTCATATGTGTATATTTATGTTTTGTGTTTGTCTTGTGGTTATGGTATTATTAAATGCAAATTTTTATTTAGTTTTGCTTGACGCCCAATTGACATATCTATTTGATTGTCCCTTACTAAAAGAACCCAGAAGTGAAAATTTCACTTCTTTACATTTGGCATCCACAATGGGATCTGTCAGTAGGGTTTATACTAGTTGACTGAAATTCAACTTTGTCATGGACATGCCTTAGTGGATGTCTGAGTTAGTAGAAAAAGGGGGGTCTGTTACAAATTGTCTGACCCTGTGGAAGGAAATACAAGCGACGGAGCGCGAAGAGCGTGCAGCAGATCGTGATTTGAAACGTGCAGAGATGGAAAGAGAAATACGCATGCGTGAACTTGAGATTAATGAGAAAGAGATAGCGGTGCAACAAGCTCTAGGTATTGCAGCACCTGTTACTAGCAAAGGAGATCAGAAATATAGTAAGTTACCAAAATTTATTGAAGGTCAAGACCCAGATGTATTTTTGAAGTCTTTTGAGAAACTAGCAGCCTTGCATAAATGGGCAAATTCTGAATGGCCAGTTCGTATTGTGCCATTATTGAGTGGTAAGGCATTAGAGGCATACTCTCGTTTAAGTGATGCTGATGGTGGTAATTATGACAAGATTAAAGATGCAATTCTAAAAAGGTATGAGTTAACTGCAGAAGCCTACCGGAAAAAAATTTATGTCTGCTATTCAGGAAAAAGACGAATCATTTAGAGAATTCAGGGTTAAGCTAGAAAAGTATTTAGAACATTGGTGTGAACGTGAGAGTGTTGGTAACAGTCATGAAAAACTGTTGGATTTGATGTTGCTTGAGCAATTACTCCAAACTTGTAGTACGGATTTAAGGCTTTGGGTTAATGAACACAAGCCTAAATCTGCTCATGAAGTTGTTGATTTAGCTGAATCCTATCAAGTGGCTCACAAGATTGAGAGTCTTGTATCAGATGGTGCTTTCAAGATGAAACCTCAATCAGGTAATAATGGTGGTCAAACCAGAGGCTTACAGAAGGATCTAGGAAAGGGTAAGGATTTCAGTAAACCTAAAACTTGTTACATTTGTCATAAACAAGGACATTTAAGTTATGATTGCACTGAAAAGAAAAGTACGGAAAAAGTTAAGAATGAAGATGAGTAATCAGCGATTATTATGTTGGAGTCTGAAACTACAGGAATTAAAATTTAGAAATTCGTATGTGCCTGGTAAGTTGAACATTGTGGCAGATGCGTTGTCCAGGTTGGAGGAATAGAAGTCCCCTGAAATACTCCAGGTAGTGTGTATAGTTGTATATATGTTTATGCATGTTGTTCTTGGCAGTTATAAGATTCTGTCTAAATGATGTAGACAGGTAGGTCATTTTGTATCGAGTATGAGAGAGTGTTTGGTATGGACAAAAATGGTATTTTGTCTCCTTAGTGGGGAGGATTGTAAAGTTTTTGAGTTATCCGTCTTTGAGTGTTACCTGGATTTAAATCTTAGTGATTTATAAATATAACAAAAGTAATCTAGTTTGACAAACAGGTAATGTGAAGGTGAGAAACTGGTTAGGCAGGTTAATTTAGAAACACTAGTCTTGAGATAGGG